AATCATTCCCTTTGATCTATAATGCTAATCCATTTTTGCTCTTAATAGCTTTTCCTTCAATCTTAACTTTAATCAACTGCTATGTTTTCTGGTTACATACAAATTAGCCAACCTTTAGACCAACTTAGTCCAGCCAGGTGTCACTCTGTAGGACTAAATGATGTCCTTTGAATGGCTTCAAGTCACGACTCGATCAATCTTTCAGTCGAAACATTTTTACTAATTTTTATTACATTTTGTAATGGCGAGTCTGGTTTTCCAGTTCAATGCTGTGAGGTCAATTTTACTTGATAGCTAATTGGTGACATTTTGTCAAATCGATGACAGCATTGAGGTAAAGGTCGTGCTTTTTGGAGATTTTGATAGCTTCATTTTTGACACTGCAGAGGAACCATTTTTCAGTTTTCAGATTTTCACTTTTCAAAGGCAAATGGTGCAACTTTTTGCTCCATCACCAATTGATCGTTCATCATTTTGACATCTTTCTGTGCAAAATCATTTGACGGACAAGCAACAACCTTTTACCAACCCAGTTCATCACCACCTCTAGCAAGACCTTTACCTTGTGCTACCCTCGCAATCAACATAATTGAATGCCATCCTTTACTCTTCACCTGTTTCTTTTTTGTCATTCAAATGAACACTATTTAAATATCGACTACTACAGGTAATGATGATAATAATAGTGATGATCAACTTAATGATGAATGATGGATCCAATGATGACAAGTAAATTGTAACCTGTCATTAGTGAAGGTGAAACATTTCAACTTTAAACTGACGACTCAAGGATGCAATTTATTGAGTCTTTGAAGGGAAGTCTTTAAAGACAAAAGGTCGAACCTGCAAAAAGAAGCAAAAATTTACTCAATCAACCAAAATAATGTAAGGAGTAGACCAACTATTCAGGGTGTATTTAACCTCATGATAGACTAAACTGTGAAAATTGAAAGCAAAAATTTTGCCAAATTCAATGTTCGATCTTTTAGAAAAATTTCAGTTCTTTTCTTGCTTCACCTGACTTTTCATTATCATTCATAGACGCTTATTGATTAATCGATAATTTGATTGTAATTACATAAGTAAATGTTAATCTTGCAAATGATTAATATGAAAGTCGAAAAAATAACTCCATTAAAAGGTAACATCACCAGGCAACCAGAAGAGTAATTATTTTTACTACAGCTTCTCTTATTGTGTCCAGCTTGACCAGAATATAAAACAAATTGTCATTGAATGGACAACAGTCCAAAAATTGACTGAAGAGAAAAAATGTTTCATTTTTGTTCAATCAATCATTCATTTCATGGTTAGACAACAATCAAAATTGATTAACAATTGAAATGGATTGGTGTTTATGTCATTTAATTTCATCAATAATTATAATTGCTAAAAATAGATTGAAAGAATAAATTAAAAACGATTTTCTCGTTTTCGTTGAAAACCAACAAACTTTGTCTGGAGTTGAAGTCAATTGAAGTTGGTCAAGTTGTTGAACAATTAATTGGATCAAATTGAATGCTCTTCGATAATTGTATTTGTTTAATTAAATAATGTTGATTAAAGTAAATCAACTCGAGCTTTGTCCTTTGCTCTCATTAGACAAGTTAATCCAGTGAAACCCAAATCTCTTTTTATGATTATTCAACTTTTAACTTTTGTTCAATTAATTATTCATTATTAAAGTGTTCATGATTGAGTCTTACGTGACAATTAACATTGACACTTGGTAATGGGAAGAGGCAAGAAAAGATTCAATCGATAAATTGATCATTTTACATTCATTTGAAACATTTAGTTCACTCAACGAATTGCCAAGTTAATCAATTGGTTATACTTGACAACATTTAATTGCAACTGTCTATTTACATTTAAATTATTTTCTTCGCTTTTCTCACAATTGTTGACTTTTATACAGTTTAAATTGTTACAAATCATTAAGGCATATTAGCACTTGTGACGCTTTTATTTGTTCATTTCATTAAAATGCTGAAAAGCTGATGTTTATCAAATGAGTCAAGTTAAAAAAAAGCTGTAACAATGAAACCATGAACCAATGAATTACACCGAATTTTGTGTTTTTTCTTCTCATTACAAATGGTAACTCTTTGGTAACCATTAAACAATTCAAGTTATTTTAGTTTCCATTCATCATGAAACTAAATCGCAAATGATGAAATAAACAGTATTGTTTAAGCATTAAAAAACTGTTAAGCAAAAGTTCAGCTCGAGATTGACAAAAAATGGAAACTTGCAGCTACAATAATAGGCCAATTAGCATGAATTTTGCTTGAAAACTCTGATAATCTCAAGTTTCTGCTGAACACTTCTTTTTCAGCTACTTTGCTGAGCAATGTTTCCGCAATTTTGCTTTTGATTTGATCAGAAATTATAAGCTCTTTGGAAAATTTAGTTTCTTCTTTAGTCAGAAAAACTTGTAATTTCAATTCAAAGCATTACTGAATACATTAGTTTTGTGTATGAAAGGCGTTGTAACGATAGATCACTCTTCATTTACCAATATCTCTGCAATCTTCGTCGAATCGAGAAAGTTTAAGCAGCAATTATTCATTGCCGAATTGCTGGAGATGTTCTGGATGAACCAAATCAAATCTCCTAAAGTAAACACAAAGCAAGTGTTTGGATCAATCATGTCTAATGCTGATAAACAGTAATGGAGAAGGAAATTGAACCTTCAATGATTCAAGTCTTATTCCATTCTTATGCTCTGAAAGATTGTTTTTGATGCTAACAATCCTTTGAACATATATGTGTTATTGTCTGGACTAAAAAAGGTAAGAAGTGCAAGTAGCTCCATTGAAACTAACCATTGCATTCAGAAGATGAATGATTTTAATTTGCAACCAAAGTCTTTGAACGTTTTCAGTCTTTTCAAACACTTTCTTCGCTTAGGAAACATCACCAAGCTCACAAATAATTTAAGCGAAACTGCTTAATTCATGATCATTTGACTGGTTAGCGATGTACTTTTATCGGTTACAATGTCTCGATCTAATACAGTATTTACCAAAGACACTATCAATACAAAATCGTAAACTAAATTGAAGTGTTTGAGGCAGAAAATAAGAAAAACAGAATCAAGAGAAAAAGTTTCATCTATTTCCTTTCCATTTTCCTAAATTATTCGTGAATTGGTTGGTGTAAATTCCTGTAAAAGACGAATCTTTTCGAGAGAAAAATCTTTTTTAGCTGCTTGGCCAATGATCAAATTGACACTTGTTTCAGGGTAATCAGCATCATCTATTCAAGTTTATTCATCATTACAATTTACTCTTGCTAATTGCATTTATCATGCTCATTGTCATTGTTGATCTCATAAATCATCATCTATCACTTGGTACAATTAATCACAAAAAAAGACTAAAAATTCTGTGAGTAAAGTTGAATCAGATCGCGATTCTGTAAAAATGTAAACACAATTTCATTTTAAAGTGAATTTTGTGTGAAAAGGCAAAAATTGCAGGCAAAGTTTCCCTTTTAAAATCCATTTATTTTCATTTAACATTATCATCACTTTCCATGTAAATGAGGTTCCATGAAATGTTTTGTACAATCAAGTTGAAGATAAATAGTCAAAAGTTTATTTACATTACAATCATAGTTTTGCTTGTTCTGGATAAGAAAGAAAATGATTTCATGATCAGAGAGTAAAGTTATTTCCTTCAACCATCTAATTGGTTTTTTCGTGGCATCATTTCATGGTGAAAGGCAGAGAAATGTTGAAATGTTGAAATAACATTGGAAAAAAATGAATGTTAATAAGAGAGCAAAAAATGACAACATCAATCAGATAATCCATGAATAACGATTCAGAATGAAAATGAGCTTCTAAAGGGAAACAGACTCCAACAATTCAAATGAAATTCTTCTTCTTCCTCAACATTTTAACCAAAAACTTTGTTCATAAAATAAACAAATTAACATGAATATTTTTTGTCAAAACTTCAAATTTCTTAATAAACTTCCTTCCCTGCCATCATATCAACAACAGTTTATCCATTGACCATGAAATTCAAGTTTGAAATTGCATTAGAATAGCAAACTCAAGATCACGCAAAGTTGCAGTTTGAATAATTGATTTATCGAAACTTTATCGAAGTTTTGCTTCTTTTTGCCATCCAAGTACAGCAAGCTGGGAGTGAAACTGGGAGTGAAAACTATGAAACTGAAAATTGGTTGAATATAAATTTATAGATGGTTTCGATTAAAGTTAAAAATTAATTCTCTTCAAGTGTGATTACTCGAATTGATTATCAATAGCTTTTGAGGAGAAAATGAATTTCATTTCAGATTCATTTTAAATTCTTTACTTTTTTCATTTGGATAAATCAACTGAAATCTGAGGTTGACATTGCATTGATCATTGCGGTCATTTATCTTTATTTTTTGTATTGCTTTTTGTCTACTTCATTATCATTGTCAATTTATCAAATTGAAAATTAAATATTGTTATAACTTGGAGTAAAAAAGGAGGAAAAATGAATCAGTTTTGCTTTTTACTTTTACTATTTTTTATGGTTTGAAAAAAGGACATTTAATAATACTTTTCAAGTGAAATATTATCTGCTTTATTGTTGCTCATTCATCATGATAACATTGAAGTAAAGTTATTTAAATATGAAATATTAATAATTCAATAAAGTCAGAATGAGAGAGAAATACTTGAAATCATTTGAATTATTAAACTTATCACTTTTCACCGAGTTTTTAATTTGATAATTTTCAAGTTTTCCCTTTCATGAATGGTGAATATTTTATCCATTGAGATTTGGTTATAAAATTTGTCAGCTATTAAAGTTGATCGAGTGAAATGATTGTTAGTTTTATGATGTACTGTAAAGTTAATGAGCGAAATGCCTTTAAATCACTTTTTTGATCGATAATAAAGATTACTTTATTGGATAAAAGTCAAGTCTTGAGTCCAGTTTCGAGCTTTGTGAAATGAATGTTACTTTAACCTTTTTTATCTTTTACTCTAGATGGTTATACAACCGATGATCTGGAGTTTCGTTGGAAGGATGGTGATCCAGTTCAGATTACGTCGAACCTTCACTTACCTCGGTTTGCGCTGCAAAAGTACAAGACTGCATATTGCACCAGTCGAACCAATACAGGGGAATACAGTTGCCTAAAAGTGTACCTTGACTTTAAAAGAGAGTTCAGTTATTATTTGATACAAATTTACATGCCCTGTTGTATGTTGGTCATCGTCTCTTGGGTCTCCTTCTGGTTGGACCCCAATGCCATACCTGCTCGTGTCTCCCTTGGTGTAACCACTCTGCTCACCATGGCTACTCAAATATCAGGTATAAATGCCTCGCTGCCACCAGTAAGTTACATCAAGGCTATCGATGTTTGGACGGGAGTTTGTTTAGCATTTGTTTTCGGGGCTTTACTTGAGTTTGCCTTGGTAAACTATGCTTCACGAAGTGATGCTCATCGCCATGCCAGAGAGTTTAATGGTCTAAGGTATCAACGACGATGGGATAGGGATGGTAATGTTATCTCGGATGAAACCTCTTATGCACTGGTAAGTTACTGGTAAAGTGTTACTGTTGGTGTTGAAAGGAATAACATTGAATTATTCATTAGAATCATTTACTTGAATAGATAATTAGTTGGGTTGAATTAATTTCCTTCTTATCACTTTAATTGGTAAATTTATCATTCCATTGATCACTCTTTATCTTGTACAACCAATGCTAGTCAATTGATGTTGAGGTGGATTAATTAGGGAACCACTTGAGTTGATATTGATGTAAAATGAGAATCACTTGAAATGTTAAACCTTTTATCGATGCCAATTTACTTGTTAATTTATTAAATATTAATTATGTTAAATGTAGTGTAATAATGATACGATAATGATAGTTAATTTCATTTTGTTACCAGTTTTCCCATTTTTCACATTTTCACTGTTGCAATATTATCAATGGGTTAAAAGGCTAGTGCAAGTGTAAAATACTGTGTAAAGTGATATATTTTGGGTTAATTTAATTGCTTCTGAAAAAGTTAACCTAATTTAATTATTCAATGAAAGGGTAATCCGATTAATTTTCATTTTATTTTTCAAGTTTTGAAACCAGAAAGTTAACCTTTTTTGTTCAACAAAAGATGTCTCTACAAACATCATTTTGTAAGGCTCCATCTTTTGGATGTAAATATAACATGTTTATGTTTTTTTGGACCGAATCTTCTGATCTTAACTTTGTTTTGGTTTTTAGTTTTTAGTTTATAACGGTGAAAAACTCGAAAATTAGGAATGCTGTTTATATTAGCGAGTTGGTTAGTACTTGAAACTGATCTCAATTACACATTTCGGTAGCTCTTAGATTGGACTAAAGAAGGACTTTCTCTGATTGAAAAAAAATACACGTTGTAACGGTCTAGTGTTGCATATTTTAATTTTATGCTTATTTTTATTATTGTATACTTTTTACAGAGGCCATTGGTTATCAAAGGAAGTGAATACTCAAATAAAAATATATTTTCTCGCTGGTGGTCAAAGTTTCCAACCCGATCTAAACGAATCGATGTTGTGTCGAGAATATTTTTCCCGTTAATGTTTTGCTTATTCAATCTTGTCTATTGGGTTACTTATCTGTTTCGCCATAAAAGAGATAAAAATGTTTATTAAAGCCTACAAGGGAAACAAAACAAGATCAAAGATGCATCACGATGACGATAAAAAACCAAGCTGATGCTGATTTTTACCAACAAATTGTAATTGACAAACAACAATCAAATCGAACCAATTGTGATCACTCTCTTTTCCAGTTCTTACCATTACAAGTATCTTTAAAATGAAATCCACACAAACTGTAAGTCCAGTCCAAAATGATGATGAAAGCTGTTAATAATCTATATTTTCCACTCTCTTTGTCCATTTATGCAAAACAACAGCCAAATCTTGAAGTGTCAAAACAATACTTGACTTCGCAGCCACATTGCTATTTTATTCATCGTTTATCAATCCATGGATACCTTGGGCAAACATAAGACCAACAAGTCAAAGATTACAAGGAATACAAGGAATGAAGGGGAAAAAGGAAATTACGAGGAAACTTCAATCTATCGTTAAACCTAAGCGTTTTAATCAAAACTACAAAACCTCAAGTCTTTCAATGATATAAATAAAACTCAAATTTATTTGGTTCCTTGGTCTATCACTTTATTACTATTAATAAATCATATCCTCGTGACAATTCAGAGTAACCCATACTCTTTACTACCTATTAAATCACTTGCCGTGAGATCACATCAGTCTGACTCAATCAAGTTGCACTCAGTTCAAATTAATTTTACTTTCGTTGGCATCTCTATCGGTAAACAGTATTTAATTTGTTTATTAACAACATCATTCAACGCCCTTCTCATAGCATCATTATGAAGTCAGACAATTTAAAAATATCCAAATATTTTGATATAACCAGCGAGATCATTGAATCTAATGATATTTAACTTCCTTAACCTAATTATAACATCATCGCTAATCACAAATTCATCAGTGAATCAATGAGTATAATCTCAATGAAAGCTCAACAATAATTTGATTTGAAGAAAAATTGAAACATCAAAATATTTAAATCTTGTCAACAAATGATTGATCATTTTAAAGAATCGAAACTTTTTCCAATAAAGTTTCAAATCAGGCTTGAATCAGATTCAAGATTACAATTGAAAGTAGACAAAATTCACGATCAATAAATCCTCATTAATTAAACTGATAACATTTAATAAAACTCAAAGGCCAATCAGAAATAGTGGAAAATTCAAATAAACTATTTTTATCAATTAATTACGAGCTTTAATCAAAATATTGTTCTTCAATCAATTAGATCAAATACACAAGAGGTCTTTGATTGCTACTGTTTCAGTTGCAAAATAAAGTTCAGTTAGATTATATTGATATTATGAATTGTTTACGCCTTTGAAATATGTTGATTAGTGGATCAATTAAAAAGCCTCATCAATATATTTAGCTTCACAATTGCTCATTTTTCAACTAACAGTTATTTTAATTATTTATATTTTGATTAAGTTCCATTCAAATTAATTTGCTCATTGTTTTAATTTGCATATTTGTGTTTGAATAAACACAATCTGAACATTAAATGTTGGTTCAAATGAAGATTCACAATGTATTTACAATTTTTTTATTCACATTTTTCATCATTAAATGTAAGTACAATTTAAATTAACTTTTACATATTGATTGTGACCAAAAAGGATAATTTTTGTTGATGATTTGTATGTGCTCATTAATTTCCTCTGCCAATACACAAGATTAGTTTTTTAATGCAGGATGATTTGCTTAGCATTAGGATTTATTGAAATGTTGACCTGAAACTTCAATGATGAATAAATATATTATTAATTCAATGCTAACAACTCCACTAAAACTTAGGGATATAATTCCAGTTTGGATTAGATTGGGTTTAATTTGACTAATGTTCCTCTCATGGAAATTTATGCATCAATTTCTGGTGATTTCATAGATGTTTTTCTCTCTGATTACTACTAATTGGTAGATTAGCCGATCATCTTGCTCTGCTTTGAGATCAGAATTAATATTGGAACGAAAATTTCTGCGAAAATCAATGAAACTACAGTTGTTTATAAGGATATCGGGATAGAGCGACCTTATTTAATAAATCTACTTGTTTTGGTGTTTAATATGATATGATTTCATATCTTATGAGGCTAATAGTAATTGTGATAATTTGATTTATTATTCAATATTTTTTCAAATATTTTCTATGACAATTTTATTTGTCAATATTATCTCACCAAGGGCAACATGTCACATGACTTGCAAGCTTTTGTTTCATCAATTGAATGATGACTCTTATTTTTATTGTCAATATTGACTTTGTTTATTGTAATTTTGATTAAAATTTTGATTTCACTTGTGACAGCCGAAATTGTATAAAATTAATTTACATCCGATATGAAATTTTTAACAAATCTCTACTTTATTTATCAATTCAGGTTCAATATCAACTGATATCGATACGTTACAGTGTCACTTTACTGATGGATTTTGTAATTGGTTGAATCAAGATGAAAAATGGAAGCTCGGTGATTATACAAATGTTACCTTTGGAAGACCTGTTCGTCCTTTAGTTAAAGGTTAATCAGTTTATTAAATAATTTCCATATTTATTTACTAATAGATTGTTTTTTACTTTAGGCGGCTATGTTTATGTTAGTGATGGGCCTAACCTAAATGGTTACCAGATTTTGTCTCCAATTTTGGATCAAGATGTTGAACCATTTTGTTTATCGTTCAATTATTACATGTTTGGACCTGATGTTGGTCAACTAACGCTTAGACTGATCGACGATAATGGATCCGGTAATCAATGGGTTGAAGTAGATAATGACGTTTGGAATAGAAAAGGATCACAAGATGACGATTGGTTTACTGGAAGGTATCATTTTACATCGAAGAGAAAGACTAAAGTCAGGCTTGCTTTTGTAGCTACATCAAGCAACATTGCTCTAGGACCAATTAAAGCTAATCCAGGATCCTGCGATTATTCAAATTTATGTAACTTTGAAGACATTTCTGTATGCTTTTGGTTTATTGAACCCGATTACTCAAGCAATTTTGCTTGGTATATATCGGATGGAAAATCTTCTGAAGGAAGCTTCATATTTAAAGATGCTACAACTCAATCTGAATCTGGAAAATTTTTGAGGACTCCAAATGATGGTGCTATTGACAGTAAAAGTTTATTAACCACCAAGGTTGTATTGAATTCAGATGAAGCCAAGTGTATGAGTTTCAACTTATTCAAACCAAATAAGGATTCAGACTTGGTCGAGATAAATCTTGTCAATAATCAATCCGCAACAAGATACATTTGGACATCTGCTTCAATCAAACCTAACTCGAATTGGCAACCAGTTAGGATAAGTTTACTTGAAGATGGTGACTTTAACATATTTATTTCTGCTCATAAACATTCAAATGGAAACGATACTGCCGTTGCAATTGATGACATTCAAATTAATCCGCAATCATGTAAAAATCTAATTGATTGCTCCTTCGATGACACAAACTGTGCTTTAAGCATCACATCAGGACCACTTCTGATCGGCTTTGGTCGCTTGTCTAATGCAGAATCCTTGAATTATACCATGGATTCTTTCAAAGATAACGATCCAAATGATTTTTTCATTTACACAGATATTCCAACTACAAATCAATCTATTACATATTCATTTTCTACTCCTGCAGTTCCTAGCACTGATCTTGCGTGCTTGTCTTTCCTTTATTTCATGGAACCAATCGATTCGTTTGCTAATTATTTGTTTGAAGTAAATGTACAATCGTCTTCGGGATATAATCTTTTGAAATATGAACCTCAAGTCACCTTTGCGAAATGGACTTCTGCTGAATTTATATTATCAACTATCGAACTATATCAGATTGAGTTTAGTCTAACAACAGAATCTCGATTATTTGCTGCTTTTGATGACATCAAATTAGTTGAAGGACAATGTGGCAAGCAGCATTTAGATGAACATCCATCACCTAAAATTTACAGAAAAGATTCTTTCGATGATTTGTCCAATTGGTCAACATGGTATACCTGGAAAGTTGGAGTTTACAATTCTACCGGAGTTTATGATTCTGGACTTCCAACTGCTGATCCTTTTGGTGAAAGAAATGGTAAATATCTAGCATTGACAAACACAGGAACTCCAGTAACAGCGGAATTACATTCTCCTTATTATGAAAGCGGTTTCTATTGTCTATCAATTTGGTATTGGTGTTACACAGAAGATTATGCCCATCTTTTTGTTGTGTTGACGTCAGAAAATAATAAATCAGTTCCCATTATTAATGCGCTTTGTGATAAACAGAAACATTGGAAGTTACTTGAGGCAACTTTTAGCATGAAAGAAAAGTTCAAACTTCAATTAATTGGTGAGGTTAAAATGGGTGATATTGCATTGGATGAAATGACAATTTTTAATGGTCCTTGTTACCATGATCAAGTAATTGATGAAACTTGTACATTTGATGATGGGACTGATTGTGGCATTGATGTTGTAGCATCACCTTATTACAATTGGAAGATTGAATCAGGTTTCCAGCTATCGACACCCATGGTTGATAAATCGACCGCTACATTGAATGGAAAAGCCTTAACTCTCGATTTGTCACCTGTTCCTCAAATCAACTCGACTTCATATTTCTTTTTGGCCAACCTGGTCAAAGAAGATAGTTATTGTATTTCATTTTCATATTATATTGAAGGTGATTGTCATTTAGATATTTGGAAAACTGAGAGAGGTAATATTGAAGATTTATCCGGTCCTTTGGTGACATATGATAATAAATTTGAATCAACTTGGACTAAAGTTACGTTCCAGATTGATGGTGTTACAAAAGAGAGTGACATTGTTTTTGGTGGTACCTATTCCTCTGGTTCAACTGGTTTACTTGCTGTTGATGATTTGACAATTTCATTAGGAGAATGTATTTCATCTGTTTTGTGTGACTTTGATTCGACTTGTAATTGGGACAATCTACCCATAGGCACAACTATACCTGTTGATGAGCTGGGAATATCATATGTAGTAACAACGCGTTGGCAAATCAATCCAGCTTCAATTGCCGTAGCACTTGGATATCCGAGAAAAGATCATACATATGGCTCATCTAACAACCTGGACGGCTCTTATGGATATGCTTTAATTGCTTCGATTGAGAAGGCAATTTTAGCTTCCCCTGTTATTTATCTTGATGCAAGTGAAACTATTTGCCTTCGACTTGCCTATGTTGCTGAATACCCTGGTAGTATTGAGGTTTTGGTTGAGCAACGCGAAAATGAAGCTTATATTTTCAAAAATTTACAAAGTTATGGCTCACAATCGTGGAAATATGTTGATCTTACTATTCCTTTGAGAAAGAGCCAAACTCGAATGGCTAAAGTTTATGTCGTCTCTTCTTCTGCAGGTCGATCGGCTATCGATGATGTTCTTGTTACTAAAGGTTCATGCCCAATCTCAACTGAGTTTTTTACGTGTTCCGATGGAACTAAGTTGCCTCAAACAAGTCGCTGTGATTACATTAAAGATTGTCAAAAAGGAGAAGACGAACAAAATTGTGGGAGTTGTGAGTTTAATGTTAATGCTTGTGGTTTCAAAAGTTCAGGACAAGCTGCCTGGGGTATCAGAAACTCTAACATAGCCTTGGATAAAAATCAGATTGGAATTACTACCACTGGTTCTCTGGTTAGCCCATTGATTCAACGTACTTCATCTTCATGCCACCTAACCTTTTCTTACTCTAAACCTCAATCTGACCATTTGGATGTTTCTCTTTTGATGAATTCACGAGAAATACAACTTTGGAAAAGTGATTTAATCGATGAAAAAACAGACTGGAATATTGTATCCATCGAATTGGGTCGAATCCAAAGTCCCTTCCAGGTTCTGTTTACAGGAATAACTACCTTCAGAGTTTTTGAGTATCAAAAACTTTCAATAGATTATGTTAGATTTGTTAATTGTGGATACGAAACTATTGAATCTAAAGATCCTGATTTGTTTTCATGCTCAAATGGCCAGAAAATTGCTTCAAATAGAGTATGTGATGCTTCCTTCGATTGTGAAATGGGAGAAGATGAAGAAAACTGTGATAATCAAGTCTTTTCTTTTGAGCACAATGAATTATTTCCTTGGTTCAATGCTGCCAATGTATCTAATTCAAAATATGAATGGATTGTCACTACAGGAGTGGGAACTATTTCCTTGAAACCTACCCTTGACCATACAAGAAGACTGCCCAGTGGTTCATATGCATTTCTATACGAAAAAAATGACCAACACAATAGCAAAAGTATAAATTCCCTTATGGGTCCAGAGCTGATCAAAACAGAAGGATGTAAAATTAGTTTCTACTATTACCTATCATCGAAATCACCTAATTCATCCCAAATCAATATCTATGCAAGTAACTCTGATGATAAAGTCCTTCTAGAAACAGTAAACGATTTATCAGATTTTGGTTTTAAGCGTGTAATGATCGCCTTGGATTCCGTTATTAAACCGCCTTACAGAGTTTCAATTGAAGGTGTTTTGGATTCAAATAAAGAATCATCTTTGATAGCTATTGATGACATTTCATTTAACTCTGCCTGTTATGGTAAAAGTAAAAGCAAACCATCACCTATTCCTCAACCTGGACCTGAACCTGATAAAAATTGTAAAGGAAATGAATTTTACTGTGAAGCTGATAAAAAGTGCATTGATATTGAGAATACTTGTGATTACATAAATGATTGTTCTGACGGAGCTGATGAAAAAAACTGTGGCTCTTGTGATTTTGTTGATGGTTTGTGTGGCTGGAGAAACGAAGGATCAAATCTTTGGTTACCAATTAATCGTTCAACAGCTGAACAAGAAGGATTTCCGAATCAAATCTCAAATCCTAGCACATTTTTGATTGCTACAAGTTCGCCATCAGGTGGTTCAGTTGCAATTAGATCACCATTATTAGGAAAGACAAGTTCAATTTGTTTGTTCAAATTTAAATATCATCTTTCAGATCAAACAAAACTTAGTGTTAGAAAAAGACAAGAAAATTCCTTGGTATCCAAAACGATTGTGGAATTATTGCATGATGGACCAGATTCTTCTGAATGGGTTGATGATCAATTGGAATTGAATTCACTTGATTATATTCAATTTATTCAATTTGTTCTCGATTCTCGGCCTTCTGATCGATTCTTTTTGTCCACTGGTCTAAGTAACTTCAACCTTTTATATTGTGTCAATTTTGATGCATTTAATTGTAATTTTGATACAAACACTTGTGGCTGGACTGATGCAGGCTCCAAGGACCTCTCTTGGAAGCTGATAACTAACACTAGTTTCACTGGCGATGAAAAGACTAAATTTGGTTTTGGTAAATACAGTAATCAAGAACATCCATCTTTCATCAATCTTGACATCAATCATGATCATGAAGTGAATTTAATCCGAACTTTAACTTCACCATGGCAATATGCTACCGATGTATTTTGTTTCTCATTTGACTATCGTTTATTAGCATTTGCTGAAACAGACCTCAGTTTAGTTATCGAAACTCCAGGTGGTATAATGAGAACCTTATTCATGAAGAACAGTCAGCCCAATTATGGATGGAATCAAGCAAAAGTAACAATTAAGAATGTTTACGAGTTTCGTTTAACCTTTAAAGTTGAGATGGGTTCAAATGCAGGAGATAATGTCATTTCTCTGGATAATTTCAAACTTTCAACCGAATCATGTGCTTTTCATCAAGCTTCTTGCGATTTCTCAACTGGTACATGTGATTGGGTGAACGAGGGATGGACAATTGTACAAAAACAAATAGTACAATCGGCTGATGGACAAACAAGAAACTATTATTTACGCAACACTGGCAATAAAGGGGCAAAATTGACATTGAATAGTTTCGATGAAGCTGAATCTTCTAGATGTTTGTCTTTTTGGTATTCTCATACATTTAATGTCTCTTCTGAGCTGCAGATTAATTCACTTAAAGGAGATAAAATTGTTTCGTCTGAAATTGTTCCCTATCATGAGTTGGCTAATGTTTGGAGTTATTACGCATCTTCTGTAATGATTAAAAAGGATTATAAAATTTCTATTGGAGCTAAACCATTAGGAACTTTTGATTCAGTTTATCTTGATGATATTACATTGTATAATGAACCTTGTGATAATCCAGGAAACTGTGATTTTGATTTTGATTCATGTGGTTGGCAAAACATAAATAACGCTAAATGGAGACGTAACATTGGAGTGACCCCATCAACGGACAACTCATTAGCTGACCAGTTAAATTTTGCTTTAAGAGGCTGGTTTTTATTTGTCCGAATGAATGAGTTAGTCCATGGAAATTTGGCAACATTGGAAAGTATAAGGTTAATCCAAACTCCTCCAGTCTGTTTAACATTTAATTATCTCTTCACTTCTGGTCAGTCCAATGAAGCCAAAATCACAATCAAATCTGTTGATTTACAAAAAGATTCAACTTCAAGAATAGATGAAATAGTTGATGATGGTACAATCGAATGGATGAATTTTGAAAAGACAATCAGATCAGGTTATGCATTTAAAATTTTGTTAATCGCATCCGCAAGGACCAATGCATCTGGTGATATAGCGATCGATGATATTAAATTTACTCCTGGAAAATGTGCAAATGATATAGAAACAACAACAGAACAATTAACGACACATCAAACAAGTGTAATCACTGAAGATACTCGACATCCAACTCAGCCTACGGTCACTCCTTTGCCAATTACAATTCCAGACGATACTAAATCCAATTCAACTTCAAATCACGCACTTTCGTACTTAACTGCTAATGCTTTATTAATCCTTATGAAACAAAGTAAGTTAAGTCTAGTTGATGATCGCTTAAAGTTTACTGATTTACTTTTATTTTTTTTCATATTTTAGATGCACATATAATTGTTGGGATTATCGCTGTTGTTTGCATGATACTTCTACCAATGGCATTTGTTATTCGTCATCTACTAAAACCAGCCAAATCTTATCGATCTGATACTAATATAGCTATGGATAACAAAGTTTACGACATCTATTCAGGATCTGGTCATTCTTCAACAAATGATGAAATGTATGAAAACATTGACAATGAATTGAGTTCATCTTTACAATTTGAGATGAAAAAAATTGCTGAAAGTGAAGGACTTTGATATTATTGTAAAATTTTCACTACTTTGTGACATGTAAATATTATGCTAATACACCTAAAAGTTTATAAAAAAAAGTTGAATCTTTCATTCGCGAAAAAAGACAATTAAAAATTTTAAATCAATTTTTCTTTATTTTTTCTGACCAAGTGTTTACGGTAACTGTTTATTTGGTTAACAGTAGAGTTTTTCGACCGAAATAAGGCCATGAGGGAAACGGCTTTTGATCGAGAGGAACAGAATAAATATACCTGGTGAAAGAAGTTAACCTCGCCTAAGTTTGATAAGTAGACCTCATATGCTCTTCCAAATGTCAGCATGCAACGCCCGTGTATACAAATACGACAAAATAAAGATAAAATTTAGTGCACATAAGTCAACCTTAATAAAAAGTCCCAATTTCAATATGCGAACAATGGAACAATGCGAATCATCGATGATATTGCTAGCTTAATTGTAAGACTATGAAATCATCAAGATATTATTTGAAGAGAAGTTTGTTGTTAATCAAAAAGTAATAAGGTTTAATTGTGATTAAATTGATTGATTTTTATTTATCTGTTCATTTGCAACCATTATAATTTATTCAGATCATTATCATACCTAAAACACATAGAGAACGTATCTTGAGCTCTATAAGGATTTTAAACGTTAGGTTGAAATCAGAAATCAAATTATGATAAACAGTTTATGAGAAGGTCAAAAATCAGGGAATATTAAACCATTGTTAATGTTAGATAATTTTGTAATAAATGATCTATATTCATGTTGATTTTGTATATAAAGCTCGATGAAAACAGCAATCGACACATTAAACAAATCATTCTTTTCTCGAGTTTAACTCTGGCAAAATGAAGTCTTTAATTGTTCTCATTGCTTTACTTGGTGCTGCTTATGGAGCAAGCCAACGTCTCTTCCTTGAACCAGGCTTGGATCCAATGTCTGATGAAATGATTAACCGAATCAATTCACTTGGAACAACATGGAAAGTAAGTAAATTATCTTCTTAAATCTTTTTCTATTAAAGATCTTCGTCATATTATACAACCTTTTTAGGCTGGAAGAAACTTTGAAGATTTACCATTCGAACACGTGAAAAGGCTTTTTGGAGCGAAAAAGAGTGGACGCAAATTACCTCGAATTCACCATGAAATTGATGGAGATTTACCAGCAAGTTTCGATGCTCGAAAAGCTTGGCCAAATTGTAGTTCAATTGGTTTTATTCGTGATCAAGGAAGTTGCGGTTCTTGTTGGGCTTTTGGTACAGTTGAAGCCATGTCTGACAGGATTTGTATTGCTTCAAAGGGATCAGTTCAAGTTGAGTTGTCGACTGAAGATGTACTTACTTGTTGCGGTGATTCTTGTGGTGGTGGATGCGGTGGTGGTTTTCCTGAAGCTGCTTGGGACTATTACCAAACTGAGGGTATCGTTTCTGGTGGTTTATACCATGGTGAAGGTTGCCAACCCTACTCAATTGCTCCATGTGAACATCATGTAAAAGGACCTCGACCTGCTTGCACTGAACAAGATACTCCTCAATGCTCTAAAAAGTGTGTTTCAGGCTATCAAAAGTCATTCAAACAGGACAAACATTATGGTAAAAGGGTTTATTCTGTTTCATCTGACCCTAAACAAATCATGAAAGAAATCATGACCAATGGTCCAGTATCGTCTTCTTTTAGTGGTTATTCTGATTTCCTAACATACAAATCAGGTTAGTTTTGATTCTTGTTTGTTTGTATAATTCAATTTTCAACTCATTCGCACACATTTAATTTTCCTTTGACAATTAGGAGTTTACCAAAGACATTCTGAGGATTTTATTGGTGGTCATGCTATACGAATTCTTGGTTGGGGAACTGAAAACGGTGTTGACTATTGGCTTGTTGCCAACTCCTGGAACACTGATTGGGGTGAAAACGGTTAGTTATTATTTTTTCATCTTTCTTCAATAAGGTTAACCGTATCAACTATTATCTATTAACTGCATTGTTTCTGCTAACATTTGATAACAGGTTACTTCAAGATCAGACGAGGAAACAATGAATGTGAAATTGAAGATGGTGTTCTCGGTGGTCTACCAAGATTGTAAACGTTCACTATTCAATTCACAGATTGGATAAAGACCTGCAATTAGTGCCTTCCTAACCAGACTTTAAATCGGATTAATGCAATAGTATTTCATCGTTCAACGCATATTTCATATACTTTAAAAATCTGTAGCTTCAATTATTGTTACCAATCAGATACGTAGTCAGTTGATGTTTTGCATTAACAATACAAATAAATATTGATGTAACATCTTCATAAATGTTACAATGTAATCTAATCGGTAATTGAGTGGAATAGTTTCACTTAGTTTTCATATAAATGTCCAAATAAAACGAAAACACTTTTCTTGAAAATCCAACACAATAAAGAGTTAATTATTATAATATAAGCGTCATGATTCAACCATTACTATTCGTTTATCACTTTGGTCGCTTTGGATTCAAATAAGTGTTCGACTCACAATGACAGTGTTACTTTAAATTTTAAATACAAATGAGTCGAGATGAAATTATATCTGGCGAACTGTACGTGTTTAGTCTGGCCATCTTAAGACAGTCTCATAACAATATGATACAGCAATGATAAATGAACTCCGCGACAAGATTATACCACGAATCGACTCATCTACTATATTTTAATGTAGATGTTAATGATTTGAAAGTGATTGTATTCTGATTGAATAGATCATGATCGATCTGTTTATTTCCTAGTGATTTCATTGTTTAGACAATTGTTCAGACAATTAACAAATGAATCTAGATTAAGCATTTTCCTAAAATCCATAATAGATTTGCTCTTTGGAAAGTTATCAGAAATAAATTATAAACAGTTTATGAGAAGGTCAAAAATCAGGAAATATTAAACAATTGTTGATAAAAAATTCATTATCAAATTATCTATATTCATCATTGTTTTTAATGTATAAAAGCTCGGTGTAAACATCAACCGATTCACTAAACAAATTATCGTTTGTTGTAGTTTAAACTCAACAAAATGCAGTCTTTAATCGTTCTTGTTGCTCTGCTTGGTGCTGCTTATGGAGCGAACCAACGTCTCTTCCTTGAATCAGGATTGGACCCGATGTCTGATGTAATGATCAACAAAATCAATTCACTCGGAACAACATGGAAAGTAAGTGAATTATTTTATTGCTATTTACCGATGTATAATAATATTAATGAATCTTGCCATATGAAACAACCTTTTAGGCCGGTAAAAACTTTGAAGATTTACCAATTGAACACGTAAAAAGGCTTCTTGGGGCAAAAAAGAGTGGACGCAAATTACCTCAAATTTATCATGAAATCGATGGAGATTTACCAGAAAGCTTTGATGCTCGAACAGCTTGGCCAAATTGTAGTTCAATCAGCTTCATTCGTGATCAAGGAAGTTGTGGTTCTTGTTGGGCTTTTGGTTCAGTTGAAGCAATGTCTGATAGGATTTGTATTGCTTCAAAGGGATCACTTCAAGTTGAAATTTCAGCTGAAGATGTTCTTGCCTGTTGTGACTCTTGTGGTGATGGATGTAATGGTGGTTATCCCGAATCTGCTTGGGAATACTACGAATCTGATGGTGTAGTTTCTGGTGGTTTATACCAGGGTCAAGGTTGCCAACCCTACTCAATTGCTCCATGTGAACATCATGTAAAAGGACCTCGACCTGCTTGCTCTGAACAAGATACTCCTCAATGCTCAAACAAGTGTGTCTCAAGCTACTCAAAGTCATTCAAACAGGACAAACATTATGGTCGAAAAACTTATTCTGTTTCATCCGACCCTAAGCAAATCATGAAAGAAATCATGACCAATGGTCCAGTAACAGCTGCTTTTACCGTTTACGCTGATTTCCCAACATACAAATCAGGTTAGTTTCTTTACCTTTAAATATGTGCTTTCGCTCATTCACACACATTTCATTTTCCTACGGATAATTAGGAGTTTACCAAAGACATTCTTATGATGAACTTGGTGGCCATGCTATTCGAATCCTTGGTTGGGGAACTGAAAACGGTGTTGACTATTGGCTTGTTGCCAACTCCTGGAACACCGATTGGGGAGACAAAGGTAATTAACAATATTTCTTATCTTTACTCGATAAAATTGAACAATAGTTAACTGTATTGTTTCGACGTTTGTAACAGGTTACTTCAAGATCAAACGAGGAAATGATGAATGTGGAATTGAAGACGAGATTGTCGCTGGTCTACCAAAATTGTAAACGATTACCATTCCATCAATTTACAAATTGGATCTAAGATCTACAATTAATGCCTTCACAATCAGAATTTAATACTTTAGTATTTCATTGTTCAACCCATATTTAATAAATAAACTCAAGCTTTATAAAATCTGTATTTACAATTATTGTTACCAATCAGATACGTAGTCAGTTGATGTTTTGAATTAACAATACAAATAAATATTGATGTAACATCTTCATAAATGTTACAATGTAATCTAATCGGTAATTGAGTGGAATAGTTCCACAAGTCAATTTTCATATAAATGTCCAAATAAAATATAAACGCTCGTCTTGAAAATCCAACACAATAAAAGTAAAATTATAAATGCCATGATTCAACCATTCCTATTCTTATATCACTCGCGTCGCTTTGAGTTCAAATAAGTGTCCAATTCATGACTTAAACTGCAACATTAACATCAACTGGCTCACAATGATAATGTTACTTAAGATTTTTAAATACAAATAAGTCGAGATGAAATTATATCTGAACTTTACGTGTTTTATGCAGGATATCTTAAGACAGTCTCAAAACAATGATAAATGAAGTCTGAAATTAGATTATAACACGAATCGACTCATCGAAATGTTAATGATTTGAAAGTAATTGTATTTTATTCTGATTGAATAGATCATGATCGATCTGTTTATTTCCTAGTGGATTTCATTGTTTAGACAATCGTTTGCGAACAAATGAGTCTAGATTAAGCAATTTCCTAAAATCCATAATAGATTTGCTCTTTGGAAAGTTATCAGAAATCAATTGATTAACGTATGTAAAGTAAAAATGGAAATGATTTTTGAATTGGATTACCTTAAGATGCACTAATTGGATTAGCATAAAATTTTCAACATATGTTCTTTAACAATTTTTGAGTAAAAAAGAGGGAAAATCAAGGCAATATTTGCACCAGAACTCAAGATGTTGAAGTTGAAGCAAAATGAAGTTTTCGAAATTTTTGCGAACATCTACGGAAGTTTGAAGGCAAATCAGCGCGAAGTGAAATTGTCGCTAAATTTATTGCTGCTGGTGTACCAACTACCACTGCATATCTTCAATATGCTAAGTTAAGTATTGGAAACAGTGGTAGGAAACCAGGATCAGGATTATCGGCCTCTAAATTCAATAATTCAAATGTGAAAAAAATGGTTGTCGATTAAGTTCTCTGTGGTTATGCTGCTGTTGCAAGAGCTATCGGAATGAGCAAACCAACAGCTAAAAGTTATATCGAACTAGCTGAAATCAAAATTGCAAAGAGAAAAAAGTGCCAAAAAAAGAAAAGTTTTTTCAGAACAAAAGCAACGACCAAAAACACGGATTCGTCGACTTAGGATGGAGATTGGTGATCAGGAATTGATTTTGGACGATGAGAGTTACTTCGATTTGGAAGGCTTCAATTTCTATGGTTTTCGATCGTTGTGCATTCAAGGCATTGGAAAACTGTCCTGATGATGTTAAGTATCGTCAAAAATCGAAATTTGGCCTCGAGATCCTCAACATCCAACCATTTTCGAATTAGAAAAAAGGCAAGACATGGTACCGCGAACAAAAGATGGATGTGTCCCTATTGCGATCAAGTAATTAGTACCAGGAAATCAACATGACATTTCAAAGACATTTAAACCACCGAAAAGATGAACCACATTTATGTTGCAAAAAAAGACTCGAAGGTGAGCCGGATATAAATAAGGAAGCCCAGCGGAAACCTGTTCAAGTAATGCCTTAATAAAAAGTTGTTTTTTGCATGAATTAAATCTTTCATTGCCATTTAGTTATTTCATAATAAAACGGTATTATATAATAATAAATTAATATTATAAATTTATGATTTCAATTTGGCAACTTGTATAAATAAAATACGTAACAGTTTTTTGGTTGTGACACTCTCGGTGGATCCAATCACGGCAAATGACACAGACGTCCATTTTTTAGATGAATCATCTTTTATGTAGCAAACTGCTACTCTGCCCTTGTTTTTTTCTTCCATTGCCATGGCTTTTTGCAAAATAGGGAAATCAGGATTTACCAATAGAGACAATTCAGTTCTACCTAAATTATTGGCCTCAGCAACTTTGATGACTGAATCACTGATTTTCTTAACTTTTTTGGACTTCGAATCTGTTTTGTTTTTGTAAGAATATATTTTATGTAGTTCCTAGCCAGTTCACTGGGGGCTCGTAAAAACTGTTGTTGTTGTTGTAAGATGGAAGTAACTGCTAATGCTAAAAACAACCCGCAGTCATTACCATTATTTTTTATTGGACAATCTGATGACGAGATAAAAGACCATTTTGCAAATTATATTAGTGGGATAAATTTCATCATGATGTGAATGTGCTTTACTAGTTTCATTTTGTTTTATGTTGCTGATTTGTTAAGCGTTTCGGGCAAAAAATGTTGATCCTTTTTTCGTCACAAGTATCTTTTTAATTATCATTTTTAACTTTGAGTTCACGCACTGGAGAATTGTAATCTTTTGGGACACTGTTTGAGAAGTTGTGCTCTTTTATTTTTGCTAGAGTTGAAGGTAAAGTTGCATGGAAATTTCTAGCCCTTTTGCTATTTCCATGGGGTCTTGGAGATACACAGCCAGGATCACCCGAGTAATAAATAATTCCTAATGGGCACAGTAAACTTAACTTTAGTAAATTCTTTTGTAGTTTTTCTTTTTTCTTTTTTTTCTATCAACAACAGCATAATACCTAATGATAACCAAAGAAATGGTTTTACTTTTGTACTTACTCGATGCCACATGAAGATGTCCACATTAATATTATCGAATTTAGACAATTTATAGATGTAGCATTGGCTGATGGTTTGCATTTCATCGCTTTTAAGTACTGCAAAACTTTTTCTTCACTCGGTTCATAATCAGAAAAACATATAAATGACATTTTTCACTTTTAAATTAACAATAAACCACTATACGAAAAAACGCTATCTTAACCATAAATAAATCCGGTGCAAAAAAATTGTTTCGGATAGTAGCGTCCTCTATTGAGTTTTAAAAAAACTAAAAAGTTAGTATCCCATGCATATATTCATTGCCTTCTATTTATCTGTTGGTCTAAACTTTGTCTAATTTCTAAGTATTAATTAAGTTTTTAATGTTTTTTTTTGTTGTGCTAGATTTCAGTCATT